GAAAGAAAAACACCACAGCATTATGGTAGATGGATGGTACTGAGGAAGCTGCAGAAAAGAGTCACTTCTCTGGTGCTCAGAGAGTGCCTTTAATTTAGAGTTCAAGGCTGGCAACTCTGTTACCTCTGTGTAACAGGGATTAACTGTTTGCTTGGCCTAATAACTTTGCCTCTAATGAGCCTCTCTAACTTTTTTCATGGCAAATCACTCGATCTGTCCTGCACCCAGGCTTGCTGCTGTAAAACTGTAAAATCTTTTTCTTTTTTTGCCTTTCTCCCAGAAAGAATAATGCTGGAGGTGAAGTCTGCACCATGAGCAGAGTTCTGTGTGGATCACCAGGACTCAGACCATCACGGAGGCTGCTCAAAGGTTCTTCACCTAATGAAGCACTGTGAAACTTATACTACATCAGGGCATATGCAAGTTCTAGGTTTAAAGAGCCCTTTAAGAGCTGGAGAGCTTTGGGTGTACATAAGGGGTTGTTTGACCTCTCATGTATAGGCCATAGACTTGAGTGCAAACCAAGCTGGTGATAGCTAGAAATGTTCCTCTTCTGACAGCAACATACGAAGCTTTTAGGTAAGAAATCACAGAATCACAGAATGGTTTGTATTGGAAGAGACCTTAAAGATCATCCAGTTCCAATTAACTTGAATGAGAGAGTGAAAGTTTATTTTGCTGCTTTCATTCCCCTGACTTCTGGACATCCTCAGTACATGGAGCTCCTGGAGAGGGTTCAGAAGAGGCTACAGACAAAATTAAGAGACTCTCTGTTACGAGGAAAGGCTGAGGGAGCTGGGCCTGTTCAGCCTGGAGAAGGGACACTGAGAGGGGACCTCATCAATGCCTGTCAGTGTCTGCAGGGAGGGGGCAGAGGATGGACCAGGCTCTGCTCAGGGATACCCAGCAATGGGACATGAGGAATGGGCAGGAAATGATGCCCAGGAAGTTCCACCTGAACATGGGGAAGAGCTTCTTTCCTGTGCAGTGACTGAGCACTGGAACAGATCACCCAGAGAGAGTGTGGAGTCTCCCTCACTGGAGGTATTCCAGACCCATCTGGACACAATCCTGTGCTGTGTGCTCTGGGATGGCCCTGCTTGAGCAGTGAGTTTGGACCAGGTGACCCACTCTGGTCCCTTCCAACCTGACCCATTCTGTGATTCTGTTAGATAAATATTACAAATTACATTCTCCAGGGCTATCAAACTGACACCTTCAGCAAGGAATTAAAAGGAGAAACTCTTCCCATGATGATACTTAGAAAAAATTTCAACAATTACTGTTTGCAATCTATGATCAGACAATACTGATCTCCAGCAATGCAATCTAAAAGCTCATGAGATGAATCTGGAATCTGCAGTTAATTATATACCTTTAACTTATTTACCTATTTCAAGAGCAAAGTAATTATTAAATGTATTAATACATGGACTGTAACTATTAGTTTCTTTAGAGCCACTGCTCTCAAAGAACCATGGGATGAATCTGATAAATGGTGTCTGTGCTGCTTAAGACTGAGACCTGAAATGCAGCAGTAAATGTTTGGTCTCCTGAATGGGATCCAGAATCACAGAATGGTTTGTGTTGGAATGGGCCTTAAAGATCATCTAGTTCCAAACTCCCCGCCATGGACAGGGACACCTTCCACTATCCCAGGTTGCTCCAAGCACCATCCAACCTGGCCTGGAACACTTCCAGGGATGGGGCAGCCACAGCTTCCCTGGGCATCCTGTGCCAGGGCCTCACCACCCTCACAGGCAAGAATTTCTTCCTAATATCCCATCTAAACATGACCTCTTTCAGTTTCAAACTCTTTCCCTCTTTTCCTGTCACTCCAGGCCCTTGTCCAAAGTCCCTCTCCAGCTCTCTTGGAGCCCTTTAAGCATTGGAAGGAGCTCTAAGGTCTTCCCAGAGCCTTCTCTTCTCCAGACTGAGTAGCTCAACTCACAGCCTGTCTCTAATAGCAGAGGGGCTCCAGCCCTCAGAGCATCTTTGTGGCCTTCTCAGGGCACGCTCCAGCAAGTCCACATCCTTCTGATGTTAGGATGAATCAAAGTTAGGTATTTACTTAGACCTTCTAAGGAAAGCCTGGAGAGAGTTTATGCTCTTTACAGACGTGAAATACCTACCCCAAATTAAACCAACACACTCACATTCCATCAGCACAACTCTGAGTGCCTGAGCACTCTCCAGGGAGGGGTCAAGCAGTTGGGGTGACTCTCTGAATGACCTGTGAGACTGTGATTACAATGAAAGACTGCAGTGTGGAGAGGAAGCTCCTGCATCCCTTTGACATTCACCATCTAAAGTCTTTCTCCAGGGACAGCCTTTGGTAGTTCTTTCTCTGTGTGAGCAAGGCCAAGATTTGAGCTGCAGCCTAATGGTTCAAGCATTTGCAAAAAAAAAAAAAATGGGAGATTTCAGTTGAAATTAAAACTAGGAATTGGTAGGGATTTAAAACAGTGTCTCCATTGCCTCGTGATGGGCTCTTCTGTCCTGGGTCAAGAGGTGGAGAAAGGAATGAAACTTGGGAGTGGGGCTGATGCTGCCTAGTGACAGTAGCTCTGAGTTTACACCTCATTGGTCCAGGTGCTCAGTGGGAAGCATCCTCTTGGTTTCAAACTTCACTAAAAAAAAGCCTTTTCCACCTTTCTTACACCTTTTTATTTCCCTTTCCTTCCACCCATCCCACTTTGTTGCTAATCTTAATGTCAAGCATGTATGAAACTCTCTATTACGTTGTGCTGAAAAGTGAAATTGTGTCACTTTTTTTTTTTAATCTTGAAAAACAAACCTTGTGAAGCTTGTATCCAGCAGAACTATAGTGCCAGAAAGTATTTTCCTGAAAACTTTGAGACTGTAGCTTATTAAAGCACAGATCCTTGAGATGATTGGGTCTATTCCATTAGTAGATTTATAAAGTGTGCAGACTGGATAAACAACAGTGACAGCTTGGGGAAGTGTATGCACCTGTTTATTAAAAAGACGTTAACAAGGGCAAATCTAAAATAAGAACATGTACCACAACCCAATTTTCAGCAAATTTTTATGCATGCCTACACTTAAGGTTACCAATGTTATTGGCAATTTCTCTCTCTCTTTTCTCTCTCAGAAGTACACGGCAACTGATGAGCACGGAGCATCTGTGGCAAAGGAAAAAAACACCGTCTTCAAATTTTGAGGAGCAAACATGACCCTTTCTGTTTCTACTGTTTCCCACCCACATTCAGTTAGTGTAAGAGAAGAAGGAAAATGAGGGAAAAAAAAAAAAAAAGGCAGAAATATTTTCTTTGCAGGGAAGGACCAAAGAATGTATTATTTTCTCAGTCACAAGCAAGTGCTTTCATCACCTCTGCTTTCATTTTGCTCCATATCATAAGTGACAGGGAATTTTTTATATATTACTGGTGTAACTTAGAAGAGGTCACATGTCTAAAAGTTCTCCTGCAGGAGTCTTCTTTTGGATGTATGCAAATTTTACAGTGCTTATGCCACTTGTAATTTGGAGATAGGTATAAGCAAATGCATATGCATATGTAAAATGGAGATTATATGTGTATATGCAATTTTGCAGAATTAATCAACCAAGAATGTACAAAAACTATAAACGCTTTGTTGAAATTTGGCTCAAAAAAGATTTATGAATTATCCTGCTATAGCAGCTTTCACTCAATGATGCGAAATGCACTTTTTTATTAATAATTAATAACTTATGAGATTTACATGATAATGGGGCTTTAAGCAACTTGGTCTAGTGGAAGATGTCCCTGCCCATGGCAGGGAGTTGGAACAACGTGGTCTTTAAGGTCCCTTCCAACCCAAATGATTTAATGATTCTATGATAATATTATTGCCCCAGAATAGCATTTTAACAACATACACCAATCTTGAGAGGACCTGTTGGTACCTATGTTTATTCACAATTGCTGTAGTGGTGCTTTTTACAAGTATAAAATGCTGCCAGCCTGGAATCCCTCCAGGATTAGATCTTAATCCCCAAAGATATGTAAGTGCTCCCATCTCCTTTCTGGGGATTGAATGCTGGAAACTGCATGGATAAACGCATGCAAGTTTATATGTAAGGTTAATAATGGAGTAAAGAATTAAAATTTAGGCTCCAAACTTGTCAAGTGTATTGTAATGAAAATCACAAACTCTTCTTGGAGTCACCTTTATGTCAGTAGTTAATATGAATATCTTTGAAGACAAATCAAAGCCCTGGGCCTGACTGTGTCCTGTGTTTCAGTCTATGGCCAGGGTATAGTATACATCCCTCAAACACATTTGATTACTTCTGTTATCATGAACTGAAGCAAAGGGTCTTTGAACAATTCTCACAATTCAGAAGGAAAAAAAAAAAGCAATGTTTTACTTCAGTATACCTTTTACTAGAGCGGGGTACAATAGGATGTGATTATTTTAGGAACATTAAAAATATCTACTATCTTCCTCCCATGCTAGGTAGAATAGTCTGAAGTAGTTTTGCTTTGTAATTTTCTCAAACGAAGAATTCTGACTTAACCAAACCTCTTCAAAAGGAAGCTGGCTGATATTATCTTACTTCCCTCTTTTCTTATTGTGGAATTGTTGAGAGAATGCCAGTTGTTACTACTTGTCATCACAACTTTCTAGTCCATAATATTGCTCGTTAAAGACAATAAATATTAACCAGCAGACTACTTAAAAACTGACCAGCATGCAGAATTTGAGTGCTTAGGTAATAACACGACGACATTATAAATCTGGGTTCGCCTTCATTATTTAATTGCACACCCACACATGCACACACACATAAATCGTACCTCCTGAAAAACAATTCTCCTTTATTTGTCTTTGTGATGTTTGTTCAGCAAATTTTTTAGAGGTTTTTTTTTTTTTATTTCTTGGATATTAAACAATACCAGGGAGTGAACATCTCTGCCTCTCTTTCAGGGGATCGCAGCAAGAGTTGTGCACACAACATGTTGCCAAAAGTGGGAAAAATGGGGATTGCAGCATGAAAAGCCAAGCTTAATGATTGCTAAGATAATGTTGACTTCAAACAGGCCTGTTTTGTCCCACGTGCATGGGAGTAAATGTGCATAAGGTACCATATTTGATGAACTGGGTGAATGGACCCAGAGGTCCTGCAGACAATGGATGCGTTGAGGGATCCACACAGGTTCTGCTCACTTGCTCTGCCAGGCATGAGCTAATGTACAGCTGATTCCTCTCTGGGGGATGCTTTGATTCTGGGTTTCAAAGGGGACCCTTTCAGTATTCCTAATGATTTTTTTTGGCTACAAAGCTTTATAGAGCATTATAGAGTTGTTGGGGACTCTGACACCAAAAGAAGTGTAGACTTAAGAGCTGTAGTAAAAGACTTCATACCACTGCTGCCCACTACTCAAAAAGGCAAAGGTATAAGTACACCAAAAAAAAAAATAAATAAAAAAGAAAAAGAAAAATTCAAGCTCAGATTAACAAAGCTGTTTGCTATTATGGACAAAAGCTGCAGGGGAAAAAAAAAATGAAGAGGAAATGGGCTGTATTACTGTGAGTTGGCACAGAAACGAAATACCAGCCTGCAATTTATGTATAGTAATTGTTCACGAAGCATTCTTTGGGTTTTGATAGTGACTCATTGTGTTCTTTGTGACCTTTGATGTACAGGATGGGCTGCTAGAAGACAGAGGAAGCCACGGTAAGAATATAAAACTTTATTAACTTAAGATTTTGTTGGTTTGTTTGCTTTTTTTTAATTATTGCTCACTGGTAGGTATTCTCTCTGGAAAAGTCTACCAGAGGCATTTTACCTTGAGTCCTCATGGGTTTTGCCATGTCTCCCAGGCTTTTGTAGTTGAACAAACAGTTGAAAAATAGCTTTGGTTTTAAAAAGGAAATTTGTTAAACAATTGGTTGCTGACGTTGATTACTGACTTCTGAAAAATAAGATAACTGATTGCAATACTATTGTGTTTATAGCCCAGGTAATGAGCAGTTGAAGCCCTGCACTACACAGGACAAACAGAAAAGTTATCAAGAAGACATTCTTCTGAGTGAATATTTTAGATTTTAAAGAAAATTATGGAAAAAAGCTTCCACGGAGTCATCAGGGTAGACACAACAGACTCTTCAGGGCCGTTAAGTTCCATTATGTAAATCCACAGTGATGTAAGCCAGACACTGTCAAGTTTGATACGCCCCAAATTTGACCTAATTAGCCATTTGGTTGTTACTTTTTTCAAAGCTTGTGCAACTCGGCTCGGTTCAGGATATAGATGCTAATTGAACACATAACCTACAGGTGCTAAAGAATTCTTACAAAGGAAAGCCTATCCTATTAGGAATGCAAGTCAAGGCTCGGGGTCATCGGCTCGGGAGGTGGGGAAGGAGAAAGAAATCCTGTCTGTGGCTCTCTTCACATCACCATGTTATTTCCAGGAGCGAAATTCAAATTCAGAATAAAGCAATGCAATCTAAGAGATATTTGCCAACTGAAGTCACTCCAGCTTCAGGAAAAGAATATCTCTTTGAGCTTTTAGAGAGCTGAGACTATAAGATGCAAAGCCTGAAGTGGTTTATTCTGCCCCCAGTAACAAGCACACTCCTGTACCAGTCACAGTTGAAATTTTCTGTCATTCACAGGCCCACCAACTGATTTGTAGATACTTGCTGCCGTGTTCCAGGTTTGCCTTTCACCTTTCCCATCTCTGCCTGTGTGCCCCTAGCCTAAGATCATCACCTTTACACTCAGCTCTTCTTCCCACCCATTTTCCAGGCAGGAATACAATAACCTTTTGTCATGACTACACCTTGGCCCAGATGCTGCAGTGTAAACACTCTATCTCTTCTGCTGCTTCCCCACAATCCTCTAACCAAAATGAAACGAGATAAAAAGAGCTGCACAGCCTCTGAGTTTCCTGGCTTTTATCTTTTTATACCAAAGCCTTTGTGTTAATTTTGCATAGCTATTTTTACATGAGGAATAATATCCTGAATTACTGCTGTCACGTGCATTAAGAATCCCACCTCACCATCCTCGAGTCATCTGGCAACCTGATAGTGTTTCCTGCTCCTTCCTTCACATCAGCGCTGCAAAGAGCTTTGCTAAAAGTTTCACATCTGAAAAAGCAGATGATTTGGCAACACCTTCCTATAGATTTAAAAAAAAAAAAAAAAAAAGAAAAAGAAAAAAAGAAATGTGCCTGTCTTTGAGTAAACTTTTCTTTCCAACTGTTCTTTTTTGTCAGCCTGCCAGCTCGACTTCTAGTATTGTTCTGCGGAGATTGCTGCAAGGAAAAATTAAAGAGAAGAGAAAGGTAGAGAACTGGGGGAAAGGGAAAAAGGGTTCAAAGGGCATTTAAAGCCTGGGGAGCCTAACATGGAATGGGAGATAGGCTTAGGAAACAGGGAATAAAATGGTGGAATGAGAGATAAAACAAGAACATAAAGGATAAGGGATTAGAGAGATAAGGAGTTCAAGAGATGAAATGTGAATAAAGGAAAACAAGAAAAATAAGGATGAAAGGAAAGAAGTGACAGGAGTAAGACATGTAAACAATTAACTAAGAAAATATTCTGTTTATTTTAGTGAAAGAAAATTATAGCATCTTTATTATTCTCTGGTTTACTAGTTCAGAGGAATTTTTCAAACTAAGAGCTGACACTTGGGTAGTATTACTGAACAATGATAAATATAAGCCTTCCAGTTGCTGAATTAACCCATTCTGAATTTGTTTAATTAATATGACATTCAGACAGCTAAAATTTGGATAAGAAAAGCAATAAACATATTAACAACTGCAATACAAAATGCAGATCTGGAAGAACTCTTCCCAGTATTTGCAGTTACATCCATCAACTCAGCAAAAATCACTCCAGCACAGAATGACATGCTGCTTCAGATTAATACCAGAGCTGAATAGAGCAAAAATATTTAAAACCAGTGCTGGGTTCAAGTTTCAGCATTGCCCACTGACCAGCAGAAAACTGCTCAAGATCAACATTTGTCTGTAAAAGTATTTCACAATATTTTTCCCCATCAGGATATTTATTATAAAGTGTTATCAGGTCTCAGTTTCTGCCTGAGCTCTTCACATAGGTCATGTAATGTGGTGGAACCTTGATAACATTGCTTGTTTTCCCTGAATGTCTGAGGATGTATCATCAGGAAGCTGAAATTTTATCAAATCTACACTGATTTTTTTTTTGTTTTTTTTTTTATTTCTCAGAAAGGCTACATATACTCACATACTCAAAATCTAAAGGCAGCATTAAAAAAAAATCAACATTTTTTCATTAGTTTTTGTGCTTACCTCTGACAAGAATCCCCAAGCATCTTATTAGCTAATTTAGCCATCATCCTTCCCTTTCCATTACCCTTAAACTTGCATAAAATAGATCTATAAGAAAGATATTCCTTGAGGTCATTTACTTGGCTTATAAACTCTAGAGGCTGGAAAAGGGGGGGGAAAAAGGTGTCCTTTTCCTGCCTGTGAAGCTCCAAAGGTTTCTGAGCAGGTCTCAGGCTGTTGTGAAGGTTTTTGAAGACACAGTCAAGGTGTTGCATATCCCTTTTCCTCATATTTGATGGGACAATCCCCCAACAGGATTTATTCCTCCAGAGCATCCACAGAGAAGAGACAATGAAGTCTCGAACATGTGCTGGTCCCAGTTCTGGTGCCATCCAGCCCTGTAAATTCTGTCAGAGGGAGAGGAAGATTTAGATATTTGTTTCAGTATAAATCATGAGTTAGTCACTGGAAAACTGGATTTGCTTAAAAGCAGAAAAACCACATTAAAACAACCCTAAAATGTTCCAACCTTAAACTAACCCTAACTAAGCAGCATAAAGCACCAAATAATCACAGTAAGTAGTTGTGTCTTTACAGAAGAACCCAAGCCCTAGGTCCTCTCCTGAAGTACTTGAGGTGCTACAATAAGAAACCACCAGTAACAAACAGCAATTTAAACATTACATTCTATGAAGTCTTGGCTTGCCAAATGCCTGAATGAAAAAGGATGTGAAAGATGGTCTCCTTCATTCTAATTCAACCCAGAATCTCGGATTATCTGTTAAAAATAGGACATTTTCTCTTCTCTAATAATAATAATTTTCCATAGACAGCTGTTGATGTGCCCATAGGTTCACAATAGCTCTTTTTGCAGTGGGTTGTAATAACAATTTCTTCAACTCTGTCTTTGAATTCAGAGCTGTACAAGCTATTCACAGCGAACACTCTAATCAGTGAATTTCAGCTTTTATTCTGCCCGTGGATTGTTGCAAATGCTACACACAGACATTTGATATAAATAAACTTTGCCCCGGCTGTTGGTTCACAACATGTTTTCGCTGCAGAGTTTCAATATCCATTATTACCATTGCACAACTCTCACCTTGGCTGAGCAGTGCTGTTTGTTCTGGGCAAAACCAGTCACCAAGAGGAAATCCGTGCCATGGGGCTGTGATGGTCCGATGGATAAGGTGTGCATGGTTAAGTTAGGAGGAGCAAGATCACAAGGCTAAAGAGGTTTTCAGGACTATTTTAATATTTCCTTTCCAGTTCCCTTGACTCAGACCTTGCTTGTAACATCACTGTGAGAACAAAGAGGCCACTTGAACGTTATAGACTGAGGTCAAATTGAAAATTAATGATCTCTTATCACATTCAGACAAAGCTCCAGCTGCAAAGGGTGGGGTTGGGTGCTTTTCTGGTGTATATAATTGCCACTGAATCAGGGCTCTGAACAGGGCTTGCCTAGTCAGAGCTGCAAAAGATGAGCTCCCATGGCATTTTCCAAGTCCCTCAGCTGTGCCCACACCAGAGCCTGGCCTGGCAATCCTTTACATGGCTGGTATCTTCGGTGAGAGCAAACGGAGTGCAAGTTTAATATCTTAATGAAACAAATGTCAGGCATTTGTTTTATATGAATAAAACATCTTTGGCATAAACCACGGCGAAAAACAAATTCCAAAAAGGTTGTAAATCAGAATTCAGCTTTCAGTGCGCTAAAATGTGTGTGTGAAAAATTATGCTGAGGAGCCAGCTCTATCTAAACTAAATCGTTTGGCAATGCCCTGTCAGCGCAGGAGAAAATGGATGTAATATGCACATATGCACAAGGAGTGACTCACAATGATGTACAAGTGTTCCTGTATCTACTCCAAAAGAAATACCTGGAAGTCAGGAAATATGGCTCCACAGTTCAGCAGATTTGTGTGAGGATAGATGTTCTGGTTTTGAAACTCTGGTTTTTCCCCAGAGTGCTGTAAAGATGTCTCATGCAAACAAATACAGTCTGGGTCAACCGATATCTCCGGGACTATTGCACAAACTATAGTTTTATTTGGTATTTATGGGAGAAGAGTTCCAGGAGAAAAACGTGCCTTGCTGGCAGCTTAAGGACTGAACAGTAGATTGATATCTGTAGGTCCCGAAGCAAGACCTGTAGCCTAAACACACACACATTAATCTATATGTAAGCCCAGGCAGTTCCTTAAGTAGTCACAACAGTTTAATTGCCTATGAATATTCATATAAATGAGTTTTGTTTGGAAGAATGGCAGCAATCTCGACTACTTGTACCAATCTGTATTCAAGCAGAGAAATCATCTGAAGTCTCCAGTTTCCTGTTTATAAGAGTTTGGGCTGCCCAGACAAAACACAGCAGCAGGAACAATAGCACAGGGCTTGGATGACTCTTACAGCACCTCTGTGACCGGGAAGGTAACATCACTCCAAGATAAAATCATAGTGTTGGAGCTGGAAACCTCAAAATGATCTAGTGTGTGTTTGTGAAGTCAGTGCTCAAATGCACAATGAAATGGCACCGTAGAGTCTTAAATGGTTTGGAATGGAAAAGACCTTTAGGGGCTGTCTAGTCCAACTCCTTGCCATGGGCAGGGACACCTTGCACTATCCCAGGTTGCTCCATGCCCCATCCAACACGGCCTGAAACACTTCCAGGGATGGGGCAGCCACAGCTTCTCTGGGCAACCTGTGCCAGTGCCTCAGGATTCTCACAGCCAAGAATTTCTTCTTAATATCTACCTGAATCTACCCTCTTTAATTTAAAGCTGTTATCCCTTTGCCTGTCACTACAAATCCTATTAAAAAGTCTGCTCTCATCTTTCTTATAAGCTCCTTTGAGCACTGAAGGGCCACACCTTTATCTATCCCATACACCCTACTCTATTTTGCTGTTAGCATACATAAATTGAAACACATCCTTGGGTCAGCTACTGTTAGTCTGTTGGTCCTTGAAGGGGTTTCCTGGCATAGCCTGCCCTTTGGAAACCTTCCAGAAGGGAAGAACATATTTTTCCATAGACGTTGTCGGGTCCTTGCGTTCATTTGCTGGAAAGAAGTCCAGCTCTGTCAGGTGCAGTGATTGAGGCTTCTTGGAAAACTCTGATGAGGAGGCTTGTGATGAGAAGACAGAGAAATGATGGAGGACCTTGCCAGAATAGCAGGTCAGATATAGCTCTCTTGGTCACCATGGTGAAGAGGGATTCAGCTCAAACAGAGCAGCAGACTGTCTCCTGCTCACTAGACTGTGATGCTCCAGTTCATCCTACTGAAGGGCATCTGTGAGACAGTGCTGAGCACCACTCAGGAGCTATTACGTAGTAGGCTGCAGTGTTGACAAATGTTTTCAATTTTTTTCTTAAGTGCCATTTATATCTGACTTTCCCATGTTCTTCCCTGCTGCTACCCCAGTGTAAACAGCGCGGGGTCGTACAGGAACCACTTTCCCTCTTTCCAAAATCGTATTGCTGGGGATCTGAGGATGACTAATCTCTCCTGTTTACAGTCTGCTAGCTGTTTGAATCCTAACATAACTTAGATGACAGGGTTTGGGAGACTAAAGAATTACATGTTGCCAAGCTACTAAGGAAAATCTAAAAAAGAAAAGACTTTTCATGAAGTGTTTGGTAATTTCCCTCACTCCCTGAAACATCACAGCCTGTAGTTCTGCTACCCTGCTCTTTCCTCTATGTTTAAGAAATCCCTGATATACTCACTTTCTCCATGTAAGACCAGTTTCCAAGATGCCTATGAGAAGATGAAGAAGGGGGAGGAAGCAGAGATGGTAATTTAATCATGCCCTGGAGTCACTAGCCTTTAAACTGTGTTGGTATGGGAGATTTCCTACAGAAATTCCCAACTTGGTTATCTAGTCCCTTCTCCACACCTGTAGCATATATATATAACCCTCATACATACATACATATATATATATTTAGAACCCAGCTGCATGTTCACTGGCT